CCTAAAGAAACTGGAACGTAACTGGAACGTTCTTGGAACAAAAAAATTCTTAGCTGGGTTTCCGTCTATTGAAATTCACGCCAATATAACTCTATGAGCTAAATCCAACTGTGCTGGTTTCTTTTCTTCCTTCTCTTCAAAGCGCTAATTTCGTGACCTTCTATTTCATGTAGCTGTCTCAGATAAGACTGAAACCAGTAACTTTAATGCCTGCAACCATGTCAACAGAGCCAAAGCATGTTCACATACAGTGGGTACGGAAAGTATTCAGACCCCCTTAAATTTTGCACTCTTTGTTATATTGCAGCCATATGCTAAAATCATTTAAGTTCATTGTTTTCCTCATTAATGTACACACAGCACCCCATATTGACAGAAAAACACAGAACTGTTGACATTTTTGCAGATTTATTAAAAAAGAAAAACTGAAATATCACATGGTCATAAGTATTCAGACCCTTTGCTGTGACACTCATATATTCCTCCTGTCACAGACATAAGTATGGGAGCGAAGGTCAGACATCCTCCCATTTCTTCCTCCAGCACTTCATGAATGAAATCCCTCCCTGCTGAGCGGTGAGTCCCGGATATCGTTTAGATTAAGTCTGCAGTCCTCCATGTATTCTCACTTGTGTTTGTTTTATAATTGATTTATTCATCCACTTTTCTTTCAATAATAAACTATTTAATGTGCAATTCCTGTGAGTTCCTGTGATGAAAGATTCATACTGTCGATTTTTAGTTTTCACCTACACTTTAAAAGTCTTCATCTGAAAGCACTGGTTTGGTTGGCGCAGTAAAAACAACATTTTCCTGTCTGGTTTTCTAATATAAAATATGAAGAATATTTAATTTGACTGATGAGGGTCATTATTATAAAGATAGTGTTTTTGTTTGTTTGGTAAGTACATGTTAAGTACATCTTGTCAGTCAGAATGAAATATCCTGATGTAGAGTACTTTGAAAAGTGCACTCATATGTCATCATAAACCACATTATTATGATTTACCATTTAGATTCATTCTGAAGATGTTAGATATTACCAGGCATCTGAGGAAAAGTACAACCGGGTCATGTACAAACAAATGTTTTCTTTTTCACAGATTTGACACCACATAAAAAAGAAGACAGTTAAAAAAAGGGGAAGTGGCAAATTTACTGAATCTCAAAACTCAAAACTGCTTTGTGTGGTCACACAGCTTTCTCCTTCCCATTTTTATTCAACCACCAAACCTACAACTGCTTTTAAGAGAAGCACATTAAATCACATTTTTGACCATCTTTCCCACATTTTCACACCGACTCATCTATCTGGGTGAAACAGACCAAAATGCCACTGAAGCAAAATGACATGTTAAACATGACGACCAACGTTTACCATCCAACCTGACAGCACTGGAGAGGATCTGCAAGGAGGAATGGCAGAGGATCCCCAAATGCAGGTGTGAAAAACTTGTTGCATCATTCCCAAAAAGACTCATGGCTGTATTAGCTCAAAAGGGTGCTTCTACTAAATACTGAGCAAAGGGTCTGAATACTTATGACCATGTGATATTTCAGTTTTTCTTTTTTAATAAATCTGCAAAAATGTCAAAAATTCTGTGTTTTTCTGTCAATATGGGGTGCTGTGTGTACATTAATGAGGAAAAAAATGAAGTTAAATGATTTTAGCATATGGCTGCAATATAACAAAGAGTGAAAAATTTAAGGGGGTCTGAATACTTTCCGTACCCACTGTATATAGTGATTGACAGCCACAAGCTCCCACCCCTGATGGTGGCCTTCTCTGACTGGTTAAGAGTTGCATTCTGGTCAGAAACCTTTAGAAGAAAATACTTTTGTACTGCTACCAGGCTGTTTGATGGGTCTGGGGTCATAAGAGCAACTCTCCCCATTAAGATAAGTTTTGGGGGATGTTTCTATTAAAAATATCTGAATAATGTTATTTACTGTAGCTTTAAGGAAACATGGGTATGTAAACTCGGTGTTGCTAGTGCTGTCCACAAATCTGTTTTCGCCAGAAACATGATACATTGTCAGTCACTGTGCTACAGTGGATAACTTGTAGCCATGGATACATAAAGCTGTGTAGTGCTTTGTTGCAGTTTGTTATTAATCCTACACAGCACTGAATTTTGTCTTCACAGATGCTCCAACAGTTAAGTGACATTTAAAACAGTCAACCCAAAACTAATTTCACAAGAGCTGACATTCTACTGATTAGTACATGCTGCTTTAAGTGTGAGAAGAGCCTAGTGAAGAGAGCTCCTAACAAATTGGACCAAACTTCCACACGTCTTGTAGCTAAATATTTCTGATGCCTTTCTGAACATTATAACAACCTTGTGGCAATAATACACAAATCCTTCTGAAGACTAAATGTGCACACAGTTTAGGCAGCGCCAGGCTGTTAACGCCACTGAAGATGAGATAGCACAGAACACTACAGCTAGTCATTAACTGCAGACATTCATACAGATTAAAGCACAGCTGTCAACATAAAACGTAGATCATAACCTCATTTAAGTACATAAAAGATATAAATTCACATTCAAAAGAAAAGGAAAGAGTCCGCTGTCCAAAAACGTATGTAAATCTTCAAGACAACATAGCAAAGGCAATGCACCCTAAACCATAGCTGTCTGCATTACTTAGCATGGAAGAGAAAGAGAAACAGTAGTGACAGGATTGCACAAATGCCAACTTTAACCCCCCTGAAAAAACTACACTACAGTCTTCAATTTAGGGTGTTTTTGGGTTAAGCTGATGTAACACAGCAGATTATAAAACCCACAGCTACAGGCTGCTCTGAGGACTGAGGAGGTGGGGGGATCCCACCCTCCTTGACACTCTGAATAGTTTCTTTGCACGCTTCGATATATAGTCAGGGAAAAAAATTATTTGAACCCCAGCTGATT